AAGCTCTCGGGCAAGCAGTACTGGGCGGAAGCGGCAACGTTGGGGGACATTATTCGGGAGAACGTGCGGAGCCATGTGGCTTCCCCCGAGGCCAAAAGCGCGGGGAAGCGCGCGCGGGAGTCGATGCGCGTATCTACGTGCATGATCTCGCCTCCGCCTCCGCCCATGTTCCCTGCGTCGCCGCCGAGTGGCGAGGCGCCTCAGAATCAGTCACAGCCGGGGGGACCCTCGCCGCCTAACCCGGCTGGACCTTCGCCGCCCATCACGGCGGCGATTACGCCCCCTATAACGGCGCCATGCAGGGGCAGCACCGTGGTCGCCGCGCATTCTGAAGATTCTTCTACAGCAGCTACAGCCGGTTTAACAGCTGTTGCGACCATAGCGCCTCCAATGGTTACAGGAACTCATGTGGTTACACCGGCTGCTCCTGCTCCTGCTCCTGTTCCCGCCCCTTCTCCCGCCCCTGCTCCTGGTACTGCGTTTGCTCCACCAGCAAATCCAGTCGTCACAGCCGTTCGGATGGATACAGATGTGCTCGCGATCGGCGCTCCAGCTCCGGTTGCTCCTGTTCCTGCAGTTGAAACGGCTCCAGTTCTTCCTGCCGTTACACCATCAGCTGTGGTTACCGCATTTCCCACGGTTACATCGGGTGCAGAAACGTTTCTCGGAATACAGTCTTTCCTAGATGACGTTCCCATGGTTATCGAAGCTCCAACGGCTCTTCATATTGAAATCCCATCGCTCCTGGACGACGTTCCTGCTGTCAAACCGATTACGACGACGCCTGCTACAGTTCCCTCGCTATTGGATGACGTTCCTGCTGTCACACCTTCTGCGACGACCCCTTCAACAGTTCCCTCGCTATTGGATGACGTTCCTGCTGTCACACCTACTACGACGACACCTGCTACAGTTCCCTCGCTATTGGATGACGTTCCTGCTGTCACACCTAATACGACGACACCTAGGACTACAGTTCCCTCGCTATTAGGCGACGTTCCTGCTGTCACACCTACGACGGCGACACCTGCTACAGTTCCCTCGCTATTAGGCGACGTTCCTGCTGTCACACCTACGACGGCGACACCTGCTACAGTTCCCTCGCGATTAGGCGACGTTCCTGTTGTCACACCTACGACGGCGACACCTGCTACAGTAACCTCATTATTGGACCACACCCCCGCCATAAATCCAACCTTTCCTGTAGTTACCACCACGGCACTGCCAGCTGTCACACCGATTACACCGGTTACACCGATGACAGCGGTTGCAACGGTTACTACGGCCCCTGTTACAACGCCAGTCGAGCCTGGCTGGCTCAACTTCGTATAGAGTCGCGGGAACTCCCGCCAGCTCCACCAACCAATACTCTCAGGTGGGAACATTCGGGAAGCGAATCCGAAAGTGTTTAATGTGATTCCACACTGAATGCATGGCTATGAGTGTGTGTCCCCTTACTTGCAGTCACTAAGAGGTGTGAAGAATCAAGCGGGTCCCATGCATGAACGCAATATTGCATGCACGGCCAGGCATTCATGCATGGCTAAGCGTGTCCCTTGAATGAATGCATGCATGTATGCATGGCCAAACGGGTCTCACTGTGAAACCAGTAGCTCCATCTGTACCAATCAGGAACATGCTTGTTTTTCGCCCCGCGCTTGTGTTCCTGTCTTTTTCTGCTGATCCCGCCCTCCTATTCTTCTTGCATCCAATCGCCATCGACTTCCCCTCTGCCCTTCTTATATTCCCCCCTCTCCTCCCCCTTCTCCCCCCTATTGCCCCCCGCTTCCCTCCCCCCACCCCCTCTCGTTCCCGCTTCCTCTTTTCTCTCCCTCTCACGACATGGACAACCCTCCCTTACTTGCCCCACCTCAGCCTCCACTCCTGTCACTTGAGTGTGCTGGTATGTGCTTCTGTGTGTTTGTGCGTGTGCATGTGTGCATGTGCTTGAATCTGTGTTTGTGTTTGGGAGTTCTTGGGTGGCCTTGCAGACTCATTTTGGCAGGAGAAGCCTAGCGAGTTGTTTTTCTGGTGAAAGAGCACTAAAGACAGGAGAACGGCCACTAAGTGGCTTCTCATTTCTGTTCATCTTGGAGCCGAACACAGCAAATGGGTGTTAAACATTTCTCGAATAGCATAGTCTTAATTCTCATACCTGTCCCTCATCCTCGTTAGGGTGTTATAGTAGCTTTCAAATACACGAGCCCTTCCATTAATTTCATTGCACTTTTTGCCATCCCATCCAATAAGTTTCGTGGTAGCATACAGAATGGTGAATCATATGTATCACCCATCTCTCCCGTTTTGAGAATTTGTCATCAGACAAATCTTGTAGCTGCCCACGTAGGTATGAGCTGATTGGTTGGGTGTCTCCAAGAGAAGGGGAGCAGGGAAGACCAAGACGAGATGTTTCTGTTATAGGCTTTATCCCACGGAAAAATACATCCTCCCGGGATCAAACCCCCCCTGCGGTGCCAGTCCCCACTTGAAGGGACTACACAGGTGCTCATCTGGGAGTGGATAGAAAAACCTTGTTACCCAGCGAGGCGTGTAATACCAAAGAGGGTTTCCCCTATAACCTTTACCTTACCTTTACCTGTACCCACTGAAAAATACACTTCTCAGACTGGTCACAGAAATCCACAGCAAAGGTACTACGCGATTAAAATTGCAGCTCTTTATTCGCAACTCGTCACCCACGATGCCCAAGGCTGGCTAAATCCCGCAATTTGAGGGACATGTTTAGTAAAGAGCTAGCAATTTTAAAACCACGCGAGTTACTGGAGAAACCACGTGGAGGGCTGGTCCAGTAACGGGGTCGTGCGTGCAGATGGGGATGGGCTGGGCTGCTGGTGCGTTGCCGTAAAACCATCGTGGGTCGCATCGCATCGCATCGCATAACACCTGAGGAGGACCTGCGATGTGGTGGATTCATGGGACATCGAGGAGAGATCTGGGGACACCTCCATGATTGGCGCGCCCTACGAAAGCCACCTCTCGGGTCTGGATGTAAATTCAGGAGAGCTCAATTCCTGTTTTATACAGAGCGGTTGGTTACGATGTTATGCACTCCGGAGCGGTGTAATTATTTCACAACTTTAAACCACTACTCACCAGCCTCAACATTTGTGCATGAACTGTCAAGGAGCTCAAATTACATGCCCTTAGCATAGCAGATCAGCCCCTTCAATCTCTAGCCAATTATTCTTTCTACGGCGGTGTCTTGTCTCCCATGGCCCTCTTGTGTTGACTCATGTGAGATGTCTCCTCTCCTTTTACTTGGATTATAATTCCGCGTCCTCCATCTCAGCGCTCGTTCTTGTGTAAATATAGATTAGTTTTTCCGAACCAGTTTACCATCAGAAGCTTTTCGGTGACAAACGTGGCGAGCTCGCATTTGCTCGCATCTTTCTTCCAGCGTGACAAAGTCTGCCGCCTCCTGCGCCTGTCGCTTTGGCTGAATGGGTTCCCACATGAGCCTACCGAGAGTAAGAGAAGGCCCGGACATCCGTTCCCGAATGTCCGCACTCGACGGCAGCTACTCCAATTCCACCACCTCCTCTTCATCCTTCCGCCGAAAGCGCATTCTTGCCTTTGACTGGATTACATTCAGATCTCCCGGCTTTCGAAAGCCGAAGCCTAAGCGTCGGCGGAAAGCAAGCGGCGTTTCCAAGCGTGAGCCACCTAACCCTAATCAGCCGCCCGTTGCGTCGGCGCAGAGCTCTCAAGGATCGTGGCTGAGGGAAATTCCGCCTGAGAAAAACTGGGCCGAGAAGTATCAGCAGCCTCGGGAGGAACCGCATGGAAGCGCGGGTTTTGGGAGTCACGCGACTCGCGAAGCAGTGTCACGTCAGCCTTCTGCGACGAGAAGTTCCACGAGACAGGAGACGTCGATTGGCTACGACAGCGGGAGCCTGCCGAGGCACGAGGCGCCGGCCATGCCAGTTTTCGCAGGTCCAGCAGCGAAATCAACGGCGGTGGCGCAAAATGTCCCTCCTTGGGAATGCCGAGCGGGACAAGGCGAGCAACGCGCTTGGGTCAGTTTCTCTTAGCCGTTGATTTCGCATGGTTAAGGTGAAGTTTCGGAAATAAGAAGTGCCAGAGGCCCAAAACAGGGCAGGGCAGACCTCCGTTTTTCTTTGGACCCTCACTAGTAAAATACGGTAGAGGGGCGTAGGGCGAATGTGAGCCCTTGAAAGAATACAGGATATGTCTTCCGAGGGTATGATTTCATCCCTCTCTCTAGTCTTCTCAGCTGGTCTATGCAGGTTCAGTTCCTGTCTGTCTCTTTACCAGCTGGACATTTTTTTTTTAGGTGTAAGTTAGCTTGACGAATTTCTCTGTATTTACATATGTACTGATATACCAACCAGACCAGACCAGTGCCTTGCTACAGTCCCTGAGGCCTGGCCTTGCTACAGTACAATGCCAGCAGCCTTGTACACATGCACCATACAGAGCGCAACAAGCATACAGCCTGCAGCATGGACATCTCTCTCCCAAAGCAGAGCCAGGATTGAAGTACAATCCAGACTCCAGACCAGACACCACCATGTTCAGACAACTCTTTTGCCTTGAACAGCATGAGTGACAGACAGGTTCTTCACATCTCAACTTTTCCCGCCGACGCTTCAGGCCACAGCAGGATGAGGAAACTCAGAGCTTGTCACAGACCAGCAACTACCTCCACAGCACACGTGCAGCTCACTGTTCAGATGTTTTATAAACCCTTGGTGCATGAAAGCAGCGCAGTTGGTCAACCCGTCAACCTGTTCATCTGAGCCTTGGCCATGCCTGGTGTCAACTCTCATAGCATCGCCCAAAACCCACTCCGCTGCCTTGTGCTCCTCCCAAGTCCCCAACCAGTCAGTCACATCACATCACATGATGCATGGAGGCAACCAAAAGCCGGAGCCGCTGCCCTTGAACTGGCCCATGCATACATCCTTGCCCTTGCCCGCAAGATGCGACTTTCTTGCAATGATAAAAATCTCTCACAATCAGAAGGCGGAGCCGCTGCCCTTGGTCTGGCCTAGGAGCAAGTCCTTTGCCTCGTTGATCTTGGACGCCAGTAGGTCGCTGCCACCTGCGTCTGGATGATTGGCTGTCATCACTCGCCTGTGGGCCTCCCGCACCTTCTCCTGCGCTGCACTCTCCCTGAAACGTGGGTGATGTGGGATGGCGTTGTATATGTGAAGCAAAGTTGAGTGAATGTAAGCCAAGTGTTACACTTGTCAGCTAGCAATGGATGTAGGGTACATGAGGGTAGAGGAAACGAAACATACACTCTTAACACATTTGGATGCAACAGTGAATGGTGATAAAGGAATCCGATGGCCACGTGTAAACAGAGATGTTTTGAGACGTCTCAAAACGTAACATACGCTCTTAACACATTTGGATGCAACAGCGAATGGTGATAAAGGAATCCGATGGCAGGCACGCAGAATCGTGGTTCAAAGGTATCATGCCAGAAAGAATTAGTCAGGCACACGCCAAAAAGGACACATGAAACGATGGACGCATGATACTATACGACGAACGTATTCACTCAAAAGCGCATACCCGATCCCAAGAACCAGAGGCACCGCTGGCTGATGTACGCGTTAAAGGATGTACCCAACGCGCATACCTGATCCCAAGAATCAGAGCAGCCTCTCGTCGCGTCATAGTCGGCTGGAAGCCTCCCTCGTAGAAGCGCCGAATGCGCGGCACCGCGGGTCGCGCTTTGAAGGCCTGCCACGCCTCTATGCCGTACCGCGCCGCGAGAGCCGCCGTCGCCACCGCGACTCCTGCGACGAACGGACTGGACTGCGACGACGGAGACGAAAAAAGGAAGGACGTGGAGGATCGCAATCGAGGAGACGGGTGAATGAAGGAAAACGAAGGGAAGACGAACGAAGGACAGGAACACAAGTCCGACGCCAGTATCGGCGATTCGATCCATTCACGGACTGCACTGCGATGATCGAGGAGAAGCAAAGGACGGAGGAGAAAAAGAGGAACAAGAGCTGCACAGGGGAATGATGGAGCAGGTCCTGCACGTGAAAAAGAGCGGGTGTTACATCGTATGGTACGTGAAAAAGAGGTCGGGACTTTGAAGATGGAGATGAAACGAAAGAAGAAGAGGGTTTCCACGTACCACCAACTATGTTAATTTCTTTCGAAGGAAAGTCGTACGGATTCAACCTACCATGATTGCGCGCGTTAAATTCAGCCTTCAAGCACAACACGACGCAAACTCGCGACGATCTGAAGAGATATGAAGCCGGCGAGTCCAACAACCGCGACGAGCTAACAAGCCTGGGGACTGGTGAGCCAGGCACCAGCCGCGTGGCGAGAGAGCGAGGTGAGAGAGCGAGGCAAGAGTGCGAGGCGAGAGCACGGATCTGCCAAATCACGAGACTACTGACTACCGAAGGTAACGATGCCACTGACACCGGTCACGGCCAGAGCTAAGTAGCTAGCACCGCTCCCTCCCGAAGGACAGACTCCTGTGCTCGCTCTCCGAGAGACTGCAAACGAAATTAGCTTTTCTTCTGGTAGTTATCTCGCAGCCCCTCAGGTAGCGGCGGCCGAGAGCCACAAGAGTGGCGTGTTGCTGATGCTGCGAGCATGCACCAGGGCGAAGTCTCGAGAACAGCCCTGTGTTTCAGAACGGTTGGTTTACGTCCTAGAAAGTTCGAGTAGGGTTTAGACGACTTGACATGCTACATACGCGTCAGTGAGCCTTTCGCCTTCCGCCGAGCCGAATATCCGAAGGTTGTTAGTAAAATCACGATGGAGCTTATGAAGCCAAAACAAAAATATAAACAGTGAGCTAGCTATTCACCAGAACAATGAATTAAGCAGACTTTCGAGCAAACTCTAGGCCGTTTTGTAATGCTGTACACAAAATGCAGCAATGCGATCCCAGGCCTCAGATATAATATGGGGAGGGACTGAGAGCACAACCCGCACCCAGCCGGGCAACCGGAATGCAGTGCCTGGGATCAACACCACCCTCTGCTCTTGCAGCAGCTGCCTGCACCATGAAATGTCGTCCGGGAATGACGGGAAGCAAGCTAGGTCGACACGAACCTGTGGTTTCGAAGAAAGATGCAGGGAGCGAGGGACGGAGGGGGGGAAAGGAGTGGAACGGGGAGAGGAAACATGAATATGTATGCAGGATCGAGCGAGGAAGAGACATGGCGCACACGCACGCATGCCGGACCACACATGCTAGGTCTCACATGAAAACGCGCATGAGCTCACACGCATGTGTATGCACATAAATACACACGCACATGCGCATGCACATCCATCCACCCACATACCATGAGGAACATCCCTCGCTGCGGTTCACTGGGACACTCCAGGCCCGGAATGGCACTGACCCGGGACAGGCTGGTGTGTGGACACGCATGCACACACAGACACACACACGCACCTTCACACACGCCAATACATACATAGTGACTGGCCACCCACATACCATGAGGAACATCCCTCCCTGCGGTTCACTGGGGCACTCCAGGCCCGGAATGGCGCCGACCCGAGACAGGCTGGTGCGGGCGGCATCTGCCAGCTGGCAGGTGAGGTCGCGGAGGAAGGAGGGCGGCGTGGTGTTGAGAACGGCAGGGAGGGCGGCCTGCGGCGAGGAGAGGGGGAAGAAACACAGGGGAGACTTTTGAGTCGACTCAAAAGTCAACGTCGCGGAGGAAGGAGGGCGGCGTGGTGTTGAGAACAGCAGGGAGGGCGGCCTGCGGCGAGGAGGAGGGCGGAAGAGAGGGGGAAGAAGGGGAGGAACGGTCAAAACGAATTCAGCGGAAAAAAAAATAGAGAAACGGTAAGTGACGCACCTTCTCAATGCTTCCTGTGAAAGAGGATTCGGAGGCACAGGAGGGCACTGGAGGTTCACACCGTACCTGGATGAGGGAGCACGGCTGAGGGGCGTACTGCAGGATTCGCTCCAAAGACTCGATGACCTGATTGTATGGGAGGAGCATGGGAGTGTGGGAGTGTGGGAGCGTGGGAGCGTGGGAGCATGGGAGCGTGGGAGCGTGGGAGCATGGGAGCATGTGAGCATGTGAGCATGGGACGATGGAATGATGGAAGCATGAAATCATGGTGCAAGAACATGGGGCTAAGGAATTGGAATAGGCACCACGCCATTACATCAGTAAGAAAGATTGAACGAGGAGGAAAAGGAACTTTCTCAAGATTGTGCAGGAAGAGGAGGAAGGAACTTGAAGAGGAGAAGGAGGGAGAGCCAAAAAGAGACAAACAAAGCACAGCGAACCTTGGAGGCTTACCCTAGCATCCCTCAGAATCACTGCAACCCACCACAACCTCGTGCATAGCCAAAAAAGACCAAGTCAATTCAGAAATTACCCTTGCACACCTTAGGATGTGGCGAGGGTTGTGCACTGCGATCCACCCCACCCTAATGAGTCAGCTTTAAGGACCTTTCAGTCGATGCAGGACTTACCCTAGCGTCCTTCAGAATATGGCGAGGGTCGTGCACTGCGATCCATCCTACCCACCACCCCAGCACCAAAAATTGCTTTGACAAGGAGCTGACTGTCAGTATCGTCGGCACACTGCCCGCTGCTTTAGAGTCAACTCAGACTTACCCTAGCGTCCTTCAGAATATGGCGAGGGTCATGCACTGCGATCCATCCTACCCACCACCCCAGCACCAAAAATTGCTTTGACAAGGAGCTGACTGTCAGTATCGTCGGCACACTGCCCGCTGCTTTAGAGTCAACTCAGACTTACCCTGGCGTTCTTCAGAATGTGGCGAGGGTCGTGCACTGCAATCCACCCCACCCGCCACCCTGGCACCAGGAACCGCTTCGACAATGAGCTGACTGTCAGTATCGGCACACTGCCCGCTGCTGCTGCTGCTGCTGCTGCTGCTGCCGTCGCTGCTGCTGCTGATGCTGCCGTCGCTGCTGCTGCTATAGGAGACTCTTTGTTCTGCGCAGCTTCATGTGTTGCCTCTCCTCCTCCAACAGCAGGCCCGTTTCCATTTTGCACATGCACCCCGTTACCAACCACCCCATTGCTGCCTGCTGCTGCAGCCGAGTTAGAAGCATGGTTGGCATGAGAGGGCGGTTGCATGGGCTGTGGCGGATGTTGCAGGGCTAGCTGCATGGCGGCCGCACACAGAGGGATGAAGGGCGAAGCTTCCTGGAAGGCGATGCCCTCGTACACCTCGTCGGCTATGATTGGTAGACGGAGGGCCGCTGCTGTGGTGAGGATCTAAGGGGACGGGTTAGGGGATGAGAAATGGGGAGGGGATGAGGAGTGGGGAAGGGAAGGGAGAGGAAGCGAGGGGAGGGGAAAGGAGAGGAAATCAGGGAAGGTTAAGGGAGGGGGCGGGATGCAAGAGAGAGAATGTGAGTGAAGCGAAAGAAAGAGAACTGTAAAGGAGGACTTTACGGAAACAGAGAAGTTCTGGGTAAACTCCAGCCCCACAAATTGCTGCCTGGAGAAAACTCAGAACTCACCTCCACCACATGCTGCCGAGAAAAGACCTGCCCGCAAGGATTCCCTGGATTGCACACCAGTATAGCCACTGTGCGCTCATCACGAAGTTTTGCAACCTGCCCGAGATCCACCTCCCAGTTGTTCTCGGGCAGTAGGTCGTAAAATCTAGGCTCCAATCCGGAGTGCAAGCACATGCACTCGTAGACTGGGAATCCCGGGCAGGGCAGTAAAATATTTCTGTCCGGATTGGCAAGCGCATCTAGGCACAGTTGGATGGATGGGCCGCAGCCTCCAGTGATGTACACGTCAGCAGCTGAGCACGTGGGCGCGCACCCTGCTGACGTGGCAGGAGGGAGCGTTTCCAGTGCTGACGTGGAGCAAAATTCAGCCACCGCCCTGTGATGATAGACAGGCGAGCATGGGAAGGAGGAAGGGGTTGGGTGGAAAACACGAAGAAGAAGAGATTCGTTGAGCGCGGGGGAGGGGAGAAAGGGGGTGTTCTAAGGGACCTGTGATGGTAGACAGGCGAGCATGGGAGGAAGGGGTTGGGTGGAAAACACGAAGAAGAAGAGATTCGTTGAGCGCGGGGGGAGGGGGAGGTTGTGGTCTGAGGCACCTCTCAGTTTCGCCACAGCCCTGTGAAAGCGGAGGAGAAGAGGGATGTTGGGGAACGGGGGGGGAGGAAGGAGAGGCGGTGGAGGGATGTGGGAAAGGCTCAGCGGCTGTTCTGTTCTGGCGGGTTTAGGGTTTAGGGTTTAGGGTTATGGATTACGCTCAAAAGTCTGTTCTGACGTAGAAGGTATGGGTTGGGGTTAAGCAGAGGGACGAAGGAGAATGGGAGATAAAGAGAGGAAAGGGAGCGGGGACGAGCGGAAGTTAGGAGAAGCCTCAGAGTTGTAGGTTGGGGGGAAAGGAAGGAGGGAGGAGGCGGAGGGAAGGGAGCGGAGGGAAGCGGGACGGGGGGTGGAGGGAAAGGAAGGAGGGGAAAGGGAACTAGGGACGGGGGAGAGGAAAAGGGTAGAGTCACTTAACCCTCTTATCTTTCCAGCGTTTCTGGTCTCTGAGCGTTTGCCTTGCACCTGTCTCACCACATGAAGGCTAAGGCTTCTCCATACAAAAACGACTTCACACACCATGCTGTCTCGCTTCTTTTTCCTTCAGCACCTTAGTTAGCCTACACGTCTGCTCTTCAGTCCAGACAAGCAACTGGAACCGGGATAATAACAATTTTCAAGAACTGCCAAATTCCAATACCTCTCACACGCTACACGTCAGCAGCGTACCTCCGTGCGTCAGGCAGTCCATTAGAAGGCGGGTACCCGTTATAGCGACCGCTCGCTATAGCGTCCTGCACGGCGCGCACCGCAACATCCGGCAGCTTCAAATGCCCGAACGCCGTCGGATCCCCTTGACCCAGCGAGATCAACGGCTTCGGAGGAGCGACAGGCGCGGCATCAGCAGGCGCAGAAGGCGCGGCGAGCACGCCGGCGAGAGAGTCGGTGATCTTGCGGATGGGGTTCTCAATGGAAAGCGACAGCCGCGACGCCTCCACAGCCCACGCCACCGGCATTTCCGCGTCGTCCCAGAGACTCTTCTCGTCCCAAACGACCGTGTTTTTCTCGTTTGGCGGAGAAGCCATGGCGCCGGCGTCGCGCTGCGTTGCCGCTGAATTCGACGTAGCTGGTGCTTGTTGCGCGACAGCCGGAGCGGCTGGAGGCGCTTCGGAGCCTGGCTCGGCCTGTGGCTTGAAGTCCGACTGAGAGAGCGGTTTCTGGAACGGAGCTTGGGGAACGCAGGGTGTATCGGGATGGCTGCGGATAGTCTCTGCGGTGAACGCTGGTGCCATGTGAGCCGGCGACTGGACTTCTCTACAGAAATGTCTGTTTTAGGCTTTTAAAATTTCCGTCCAAATGTTCCGACGATACTGCAGCCCAACGCGTTAAAAATATATATTTCTGACGGAAATCTCGAAGGTTCCGTCCAGTGGCCGAAGCAAAACGTGGATAAGCGCCGCAGTTATGGCTCGTCGATAACGCGTGACCCAAGAGTCGGGGGAAACTACTCGATAAATAACAGATTACTACAAGGTAACTGCAAACACACGCCCAGGGGCAGGCAGAGCGAAGACTGCTGGGGACGGGATGGTGGGGCGGGGCAGGGAGGGGATACAGAGAGGAGCGGAGGAGGGAAGCGACGCGCGGAAGCTGACAGGCGGCTAGTCGTGAATGAAACGCTGCATCGTAACCATGCAGAGCCTGTATCCCCCGTGGCCATCCATGGTCGGAGGAATGCAAGCGGAACGCGGAACAGGAAACCTTGCGTGCGGGATCGAGGAAGCTGCGGGACCGGCCGGCCGGCTCGATGCACCGCTGCGAGCGACTGCTGCTTTCCTCCTAGCGCCGCCTACTCTAGTCTTGACTGGAACCTCAAAAATGCCGAACAGCTGCAGTCGATCTCCTGTCGGTTTGCTGGGGGTTGGCTTCTCAGTTTGGTTGGGTTCGGCTCGGTCGGAAATATGGTGAGGCGGAGGAAAGTGCGGTAAGGTGGAGCGGAGCGCACAAGAACCGGGAGTTCAGGGTGGGGAGGGGGTTGGTTGCGGGGGAAGCTGGGAGGCTTGAGGGCGCGCAACATAGGGGATGTCGAATTGGGATGTGATAGTACTCCGTTATGAATCGTTTTGAAACGTACTTAACCGTACTGAAACACGTGGTGTTCTCTCCCACATGGACATGCGCTGAGCTTGAGGGATCACATGACGTGGCGATTAGCGGAAAAGTTGGCGGTTTGGGGCGGTGTGAAGTACAGTAACACGTCTCGCTGACGAGGAAGCCACGCCTACGATGCACGAAAGACGAGGCTGAGGTGCATGCCACGTCACCCAATAGGTCGGACTAGAAGTAGCTTCTGTTTCAGCAAATATCTGCATTATAGCATCGCTCTACTTGCATCATATAGTGGGTGCATTTTTCTTCTGATTTAAACATTCACTTGTTCTGTATTTAGCTGGTCTAAGCCAGCCAAAGCGCGGTGTGTCAGAACTTTGCAGCCCAGGGTCTGCAAGTTGCTCAGTCGCGGCTCCGTCAGGACATTATCTTCGCGGGAGTGCGTGGGGGAGGGGGAACCCTTTGGAATGTGGAAGAGATCAGGTTGGGATCCAGCGAACGTCGTCACGGGTGTTTGGATTTCGACGACAGTGGTTACCGGCTTGGACAATTGCGACCCGGGCTCAGCGGTGACGACCAAAGGTTTCCCGCCAAGTCCAGGCCAGAGCCAACGTACGGTAGAACAAACTGCCTTGGAAGATTGGCAGGGTTCGTGGCATCAACTACTACAATCTCTAGCTCCAGATGCCCTCCTGTCTGTGTGTCTGTCTGTTGTGACTCTCGAAAGACAAATATGTAATTTTGTTGAGATTCTGGGATCAACTGGCTCTTCAAGCGTGCTCATTAGTAACTTAATGTATGCCACGAGTCGCCCCGAAGGCTACACAACGCTGGTACTTATTCCTGATGCTCCCATGAGAACTCTAGGAACCACGGAAGTTATATAGTTTCCTTAGGCTGGATCATTCACAGGCTGGATTCAGGCAGAGAACGATTTCTCCAAAATGGGACCTAGCCTGGAATCAAATAAGCCCCTTACGTCCTCACGATCACTACTTAGTAGTAGACAACCAAGCAGACTCGCGACATTCTTCTCGCGACACGCAGTAGTAGCATACGACAAGCTCGGCGACCGATTGCTCTACAGTCCGGTCGCCGTCGGCGACTGCAAAGGCCGTAGTGTAGACCACGTTGCCCTCGTTGACCGCATTGACCTGGCAGATCTCCTGCCTCCGTCGAAAAAGGATTCTAGCACTAATAGCAGGTCAGTTTTTAGAGGATCATGCAGATTATGGAACTACGCGACGGCGTGTCTCCTGCTAGTAGCTCTTATCAACCAATACTTCAGATTAGCGCATCCGCCGCTAGTCAAGCAAAAGGATTTATTATCCGACATTAGGATCGAGACGACGCCAAGCGCTAGTAGTAACAAAGCTTCCTCCAAATCACTTCCAGCTGCAAATCTGGTGACGCGCCAGGGTTTATTATCAGACATTAGGATCGAGACGACGCCAAGCGCTAGTAGTAGTAACAAAGCTTCCTCCGAGTCGCTTCCAGGTGCAAATCTGGTGACGCGACGTGATGTACTACCCGACATTAGGATCGAAACCATGGCTGCCGGCGAGGCTGTCAACAGGACGATAGAGCGCGGCCTGACATTTCTCCAGCTCTGGGCTCAAGCTAACGGCGTCGAGCTTTCGCGAGTGGCGACCGTTAACGTTGACGGGAACATGTCGCGAAGCGCGACGGTGAACGTTGACGGAGACGGACACGTGTCGCTTCCCGCAGCGACCATGTTTTTCAGTGTTCCGTTCACAGTCCCGAGTCCGAACATCACGTGGAAGGATATCTATCCCGAATGGATCGACGAATCACGAAAGTCCGCCTGTCCGGAAATCCCGGAACCAGACTGGTTTGCAGACGAGTCCGACCAAGCAGGCGCGGCAGGAGACGCCCGAAGACCCGTTGGGGAAGTCACTGATGCAACGGAGCACTCCCAGAGTTCCCCGTTAGTGGCACGCTCGTTACTGGGATCGTTCGACGGCGTGGTCGCGTCGCTGCCGTGCGAGTCGCAGCCGGCGGATTCGTGGGCGAGAGACGTTCGGTGGCATCACCTCATGCTGACGGTTGGCCGGCTGGTTACCAAGGTGGGCGTGCAGTTACGGCGTTCATGCATAAAGACTAATGCGTCCCGTCCCTCTCATTACCCATCTCGTAAGGCGAATTTGAGTCAACGACGTTTATGACGGAGTTGTGATTTACCCTTTTACCCCTCACCACCCGTTCCCACCTCTCTTCCTCCCCTCTCACCCACTCTCTCCCTCTCGCACCCCTCGCACTCTTCCGTCCATCCCCCGTGTCCTCATCGCCGCCTCTCAGTCCACGTCAGCTATGACGCCAGTGCTACTGTTCACCGAGTGCCGCCCGCCGCCGAACCTCTTCCGCTGCCGTGATCTCGTGATGCACGAAGGGCCAATCTGGCTCTACCACGTGGCATCCGCCGCCATGCGTGAGCGTTTGCAGCCAATCGGGTCGTGCCAGCTGGCGCACCCAACGACCTTGGCGGAAGTGGGCAGGGCGGAAGGGGGAGCACAGGAAGGGCGGGACGCGGCTCGGAGAATAGGAGAAGCGCACGAAGCGGAACTAGTGGAGGCGCCCGAGGAAGCGCGAGTTTTGGCGCGGCAAATGCTGGAATCGCGGACACCCCAAGAGACGCCTCGAGCGGCGCCGCGAGTGGCTTACGCGTCGGTGCTGCACACGACAGAGGACTACGTGTGCGGCGCGATCGTGCTGGCTAGGAGCCTGAAGAAGAGCGGAACGAAAGCGGACCTGGTGCTGCTGGTGTCGCGAGAAATCAGCCGCAAGAGCCGCAGGGGACTGAAGAAGGCGGGGTGGCGACTCAAGGAGATCGAGCGGATTCGTAACCCGCGCGCCGTGCCGAAGTCTTATAACGAATGGAACTACAGGTGCGTTGGGGGAGGGGGAAAGAAATTGGGGTGCGGGAAGTTGGGGGACGGATTGGGGGACGGATTGGGGGACGGATTGGGGGAAAGGGGAGAGCGGCAAGGCCAGTGAATGGAATGCAGGTGTAGCAGTGAGGTGCCTCAAAAGTTGTTCTTGTAACGAGTGGAGGCACATGTGACTGGAATGCAGGGGTAGCGATGGCTACAGTCACCTTTTTGTTGTCGTTGACTGCCAATGTGACACCTGCCTTTCTTCACTTCTCCCCTCACCTCCGCGCCCCCACCAGTAAGCTGCGTCTGTGGCAACTCGAGGAGTACGACAAGGTCATCTTTGTTGACTCAGACGTCCTCGTTTTAAAGAACCTCGATTTCCTCTTCAGTTACCCCGAGCTCTCGGCCCGCGGCAACGCGCGCCACCTCTTTAATTCCGGAGTGATGGTTCTAGAACCTTCCAACTGCACCTTTAATCTCTTCATGTCCCACGTCACCACCCTCACCTCCTGCAATGGCGGCGACCAAGGCTTCCTGAACAATGTTTTCGCGTGGTGGCACCGGCTGCCTGAGTCGGTCAGCATGCTGAAATACTCCTGGAACGGGGACACTGGTGCTGGCGGGACGGCGGAGCGGGCGGCAAAGCGGGCGGCGCAGCAGGCAGCGCAGCGGGCGATGCTTGACCGGGTGTTTTCAGCCGAGCCGGCTCGGGTGCATGGGATTCACTACCTGGGCAGGAAGCCGTGGCAGTGCTACCGCGACTTTGACTGCACGTGGCTGTACCCGTGGGACCACCAGTATGTGAGCGACGCCGCTCATGCCCGCTGGTGGGCACAGCACGACCTCATGCGTCCCTCCTTGCAGGAATACTGCTGGTTGCCCAACAGGTGCGTCCCTGGGCTCCCACTGCTGTGTAGATGGGTGACAACGTGTGTGAATGGGTGGAAATGGGTGGGAATGCAGGTGAGCCGGCTCGGGTGCATGGGATTCACTACCTGGGGCGGAAGCCGTGGCAGTGCTACCACGACTTTGACTGCACGTGGCTGTACCCGTGGGACCACCAGTATGTGAGCGACGCCGCTCATGCCCGCTGGTGGGCACAGCACGACCTCATGTGCCCATCTTTGCATGAGTATTGCTGGCTTCCCAACAGGTGCGTTGCTGTGTGTGGACGCGTGGGGCTGGGTGAAAATGGTGCAGATGGGTGGACATGGGTGGGCGCTGGTGGGCGCTGGTGGGCGCAGCACGACCTCATGCGCGCCTCCCCGCTCTTTCCCTAGTACCCCCCTTCTTTCTCCCCTCCACCATCAGGAGGAAGGCAGAGATGGGTTTCTGCAGGCGAGTGCTCAAGAAGGAAGTGGCTCCTCCTGCTGCATTGACTTACAAGTCCCCCCTTTACGACCCTCGTACCGCTCTCCACCCCCCTCCATTCCCCTCAACCTTCAGGTGGAAGGCAGAGATGGAGTATCGCAGGAGAGTGCTGAAGAAAGAGAAGGCTCCTAAAGCGTTTTGGAACTTCAACATCACAGACCCGAGGAGGGACCTGTGTGTGAAGGGGCAGACCACGTGCAATTGGCGGGGATACCTGAGACACTGGAAGAAATGATTGGAGGATGAAAGCGGAAAGCTCGCCACTGGTCCCAATTCTCCTGATCCCCTGTTCCGCTCTGGAGGGTTGCCTGTGACACTAGAAGCCTGGAATGGGATGGGACATGCATGTCAGGTTTGACTGGCAGAACCGTTTGTAGATGACAGTTGGGGTAGGCAGGCACTCGGTGTACAGAGAAGTGTGCTACTAGCAGTTCTTGTAAATCTAGCCTGAAGAAAAAGTAAGGTAGCAAATTCACTTGTATCGAGTGTATTGAATTGAGGTGAAGTAGCACTTTGCCTGCCCAGACAAGAGAGAAAGCTTGGATTTTAGAAAGCTTGCTTTCTTGTTGTAGCAATGGCATCGTCTCATTTCAAATGGCATCGTACAGACATGTCCAAGCTAGCATGCAATTATTCTAAGCAATCGACTATCCATAATTGGTCCCAGTTCTACGGGGTGGGTGGGCGGGAAACTAGGCTAAGCCGTTTGAAAATGAAAGACGTGGGTGGAGGGAAATGACCTCCAGCCCACGTTTTGTACTCCAAAACGGGCGTTTAGCGCGGTTCGCCGATGACCGTTGCTACATTACAAGCCGCTTCGCTTTCAAAATACAAATTTTTGAAAAGCGTTACAACTTTTAAAAATATTCATATTTTAGAAAGCTTGCTTTCTTGTTGTAGCAATGGCATCGTCTCATTTCAAATGGGTCTTCTGAGACATGTGTCTTGTTGGACGCCGTTGGCGCGCCACTGTCGTGGCGTGTTGAGCGGGGGAGAGGGCGCGTGCTGGGTCTTGAACTTGCTTCGAAGCCCCCACAAGTTGGTCTGCGGCAGGCGTGATGTATCGTACGTCTCCTTGGCGGTGTCGCTGCTCCACCTTCCTAGTCGCTTCAGGATGCGGTCTGATATTCCGGCGTTGGCTGCGACAGTTGCTGCGCCTTTCCGAAAAGAGTGGGTGCCGAGATGCTCGAAACTAAGACCGATTTTGTTGAAGGCCTCTTTGCACCAGTTGCGGATTGTGGTGTAGGATGGCGACTTGGCGGCACCGTTTTTCCCACCCTCTGTTCCAAAGATGCGAATGAGTGGACCTTGTTGCGATTGATCGTATCGTGCTAGGTGTATGAATCGTTTGGTGCACCGAACTGGGCAAAAGGGGCCAGGGCTTGCCGCTACCGGGACCCATGTGCCTTCTCCTGCCTGATCTGTCTTGGAACGGGGTATTAGTAACCACATGACTTCCGGCTCGAAATGAATCTCATGCCAGTTGATGACTGCAAGGTCGGAGTAGCGCAGAAACCCGACGTACATTATGATCGGTATTAGCCCCTTCTAAAATTCGCGAGGGTTGTCTGACTGTAGAAATTCCGATGCCATCGCGTGGACTTGATGAAGCGACACGGGTTCTTTGGCCCGGGTAGGGTGCGGACATCGCTTCTTCGCAAAATCTCTGACTTGAGAGGTGAATGCGCCGATAGACGGGCATCATGCCCCGATCGACCGATGCACGAAGCTGACCGCAGAGCATGTCAACTGAATTGCAGACACCGTCGCCCTGTGTTGAATGGCGTGGACCAGGTACAGCGCGAGCGTCATGTCAGTGCATGGGAGGAACTTGAGCTTGTGGTGTTGGCAAAAGGAGCGGAACTTGACCCAGTAGGGCTCGTATGTACGGATTGTGGAGTCGGCCCGCGTTTGCGTGGTTATCTCTAGTAGGCGATGCTTGAGTTTTTCCAGCAATCCTGCATTGTATGCAAAAGCAGTTAGCAGGTAAATGACACGCGTAGTACGACCATCGGACTACACGGCAAACCGTCGCCGGAGAAGGCGCTGGAGTGATTGCCTGCCGCCAGGCACTAGCTACCGTGCGTGAGGTGGAGGTGGGTGTCAATGTAGGTGGCCCATTGAGGAGGGAAGGGTTGCAGTAGGGGCCACCAACTTGCGCCAGGCCAGTACGGCGTGACGAGAGTGATGGCGGCGCGAGTTCGTTTCGCGTGGTGGAGCACTGCTGGGATTAAGTGCGGTGGAGGGAATGCGTATCCGTGCTCGGAGGTCCATGGGATCGAGAATGCGTCAACTGCCGCTGCGTCTGGGTGCGGTGTTTTGGAGCAGAACCGAGGTAGCTTGGTATTGCTCCCATTTGCGAATAGATCGATTGAGTGCGGGCCCAGGCGGCGCTCGATGAGCCGGAACCAAGGTGTTTTTAGTGAGTAGTCGTCACAATCGAGCGCCTTGGAGAGTTCATCCGCCCGTGTGTTTAGCTCGCGCGGGATCCATTCGACCATGAGCCGAATCCGAAAAGTCATGCATGTCTGGATGATCGACTTGCACGTCGCTGTAAGGTTGGTGTGCCTTGAACCACCTTTTCGAAGGATGAAGAAGACGCCTTGGTTATCGGTCCTTGCGAGGACGTGCTGGTCGCGGATTCTTTCTGAAAACGTTTGGAGTGCCCATAGAACGCCATCTATCTCTCGCTGCGTGCTGGATGACTCTAGCAGATGCTTCGACATTGCCGCACTTTCCTCGATACGCCGTCGTGGGAACTTGTCCAACGTCGCTCCCCAACTGTGTGCACTGGCATCCACATGGATGACGGCATCGTAGCTGTTGGGGACGTGAAATGGGGCGCCGTTAAATTTGTCGAACTCGTGGCGCCAAAAGTCCAGTTCTTCAATCGCCATAGGGTCCAGCGGCACTTTACTATTCCATGATGGTGCCTGCTAGATTGCCTGCAGTAGGCCTTGACTGAACGCTCGTGTCGTCGCCCCAAGAGCGAGTGACATGGAAGCCAGCATGCTGGTGACTCTGGCGATGTGACGGACTGGGACCTTGCGTTCTGCCTTTCCTTCCCTCTGAAGGACTTGGAGGGTGGAGAGTAGTGAGGCTCGACGTTCAGCGCCGATAGAGAACTGACCACGGTCAGTGTCTAACTCGACGCCCAGGAAACGCAACTGCTGGGTCGGTTGTAGATGCGAATTTTTCGAGTTGATCACAAGCCCTGCCTTGTTGAGGTCATGTATGATTGATTGACATGTGGCTCGTGCTTTCGCTTCCGTGTCACAAAGGAAGAGGATGTCGTCGACATAGGGAATGACCCGTATGCCCATGGCTCGCCAGCGCCGAGCGAGTTGTTTAATAAGTTGTGTAAAAACGAATGGGGCCGTCGCGAGGCCGAACGGGAGCGAGCGGAATATGTATGTCTTTCCGTCAAATTGAAATCCCAGGTACTTCCAGCACGATGGGTGAATATCTACGTGCTGATACCCAGACTTTAGGTCGATAGAGAACATCCAGTCGCCCACGCGAGCGATCTCCGCAACCCGAGTGAGCCCCTCGTACTTGAATTTTGGAATGCGCAGGTGCAGGTTCACTTGGCGGAGGTCGAGGATCAGTCGGCATTTCTCTCTTTGGACCACCACGTTCAGTGGGCTAATACATACGGCCTGAGCCGCGGGGGCAAGAGCAGCTGCGCCGCTTTCTAGGAGCTCGTTGATAGCCTGTTTGGTAAACTGGGCGTGGATCTGTGCGCCCGCGTGATCGTCGCGCTGGAACGGCGCCGGGGGGATGAGTTCCTACGGCATCCAGTAACCGTGGAGTATCACTGAGAGTATGAAGCTGCTGTCGCACCATGAGCTCCACCATGGGAAGGACAAGCGTAGCCGACCGCACATCCTTGTGACGAGCTTATCTGTGATTGCGTATTCGTAGGGGATGTGTCGCTCGCCCATCCCGCCATCCGGTGGATCTGTGCAACGGGTCGCAAAAGGGGCACAGGCTGTGAAGACAGTTTTTTTTTTTTTTTTTTTTTTTTTTTTTTTTTTGCATCAACTCTAGTTGCTATTAATACGAGTGCATGTACTAGCGAACAACGGGGCAGTGTATGGCCGAACCCTCACGAGGTGGGCCATTGACCCACCCTTCCGCTTCTCTTTCATATTGATATGTTCGCCTCTCTCTCCCTTGTTGTTGTTGTTGTTGTCCTTTTTTTTTTTTTGTCTGTCAACGCCTACGACCTTAGGCTTGCCGTATGTGCACCCGAGGGCTCTCGATGTTCGACGAGCTCGGGGTGGGCTGCCGTGAGAAATTTAGAACGAGAATGAATGAACTATGAATGAAGTGAGTACAAATAGGAAACTCTTGTGAAAGAAGGAACGTGAATGAATGGACTATGAAATGAAGTGAGTACAAATATGAAACCCTAATTGGGTTGTACCCCCTATGGGATACCCCACTATAGCCTACAGAAATGAGTAAGCTACAATGTTCTGACACACCCCCATAGGCAAAGTGGGGGAGAACAAGGGGTCACAAGACCAGTCAAACAAAGCAAAGCAAAGCTCAGGGTGGATCACAAAGTCACCACACATTCCGAGCACAAGTTCAAGGGCCACAAGGCCAGTTCACATGCAAGATCATATATAAAGATATACAAGAGTCAAGCGAGCAAGAGCAAGAGTATATATAGGAGAAGGTACAAGCAAAGTCAAGAAGTGAGCAAGTGAGGCAGGACAGGCACAAGACCCAGCTGCGTGCAACAACGCTGATGATCACAAGGCGCAAGTGCCTTGGTGAAGACATCAGCAGTGTTGGCCTCAGAGGCCACGTACGCAAGTCGCAACTGTCCACGCTGCTGTAGCTCACGAGCAAGAAAGTAGCGGAGAGCAATGTGCTTTGTTCTGTGCTCCAGTCTCTGCTCTCGACACAAGGCCAGCATGGCCTTGTTGTCTACGTACAGGACTGGAGGAGAACGAGGCTGCTCTCCAAGGTCGGTCAGCAGGTAGGTGAGCCAGCGTAACTCCTGTGCAGCCATAGCCCCAGCGTAGATCTCAGCCTCACAACTGGAGCCGAGAACAGAAGACGAGCGGGTAGCCCGCCACGAAACAGAGCCGGAACCAAGGCTGAAGGTGTAACCCTGTGACGACCGCTGCGTAGCCTGGTCGTCAGCCCAAGAAGCGTCTGCGTGCCCAGTGAGGACCACTGGACTGCGCCCTCCAAGCACTAGCCCCATGCCCGACGTAC